ATGCCTTGTTGATGCTAGAGGTCAGAGGAGAATGGGTCGACTGATTCAAGCTGATAGAAGAGCAACTTTGACTGAAATAACCACTCGTTACAACCGAGGTATGCAGCAAAGCATTTGTTAAGCCACAACACGCACAACCTTGAGGCGGATGGGCTACAACAGCAGAAGACCCCACCGGGTACCACTCATCTCCGCTACAATTTGCAAGAGCTCACCAAAATTGGACAGTTGAAGACTGGAAAAATGTTGCCTGGTCTGATGAGTCTCGATTTCTGTTGAGACATTCAGATGGTAGAGTCAGAATTTGGCGTAAACAGAATGAGAACATGGATCCATCATGCCTTGTTACCACTGTGCAGGCTGGTGGTGTGGTTATAATGGTGTGGGGGATGTTTTCTTGGCACACTTTAGGCCCCTTAGTGTCAATTGGGCATCGTTTAAATGCCACAGCCTACCTGAGCATTGTTTCTGACCATGTCCATCCCTTTATGGCCACCATGTACCCATCCTCTGATGGCTACTTCCAGCTGGATAATGCACCATGTCACAAAGCTCGAATCATTTCAAATTGGTTTCTTGAACATGACCATGAGTTCACTGTACTAAAATGGCCCCCACAGTCACCAGATCTCAACCCAATAGAGCATCTTTGGGATGTGGTGGAACGGGAGCTTCGTGCCCTGGATGTGCATCCCACAAATCTCCATCAACTGCAAGAAGAAATCCTATCAATATGGGCCAACATTTCTAAAGAATGCTTTCAGCACCTTGTTGAATCAATGCCACATAGAATTAAGGCAGTTCTGAAGGCAAAAGGGGGTCAAACACAGTATTAGTATGGTGTTCCTAATAATCCTTTAGGTGAGTGTATACTCATTAAAATATATGAACTTACTGTCAATGCTTCCACAGCTTGTGGACACTGGATATGTTTGAAGACCAAGAGGGCTTCACAGAAATACCGGTACAAGGTCTTGTCCGTCGGTGGGCCCTCTTTGTCCATGTCCAGGTCCCTCTGCATCCTGAGGACGTCAGACTTTGCCAGCGTTATAATCTTCTGGCAATCTTCAATCCCAGGAGCCAGCTGAACTCTGTTTGGATTAAACATAACAAATGAGTCTTTTGAAGAATAAAACCCAAGTTGTGAAAGATTCTTCAATGTAGAACAATAAAATATTACATGTTTATTACATGATAATAAAGGATATAAGTACACGGATTACTGCACTTACTCTGGAGGATCATCATCAGCAGCAGCAGAGGGAGGATCAGCAGCAGAGGCACGGCGAGCTTCTTCATCTTCAACTTCCTGGGGCTGGTTTTTAACAAAGAAGCCACACCGAAGAAGCTCCTTTAACATGGCCATGCGAGAGCGTTGGTCAGGCAAGATCACACAGAGCTGGTTGTAGTCCCAGCATCTGTTGTGGTGGACCCACTCCCTGTGTGAAACCTTGGCTTTTTTGAGCTCGGCTTCTCTTTGTTCGGGCGTGCTATTTTTCATGCACACCCGGTTCAGGTGAGCAGAAAGGCTGTCCTACGGCTTGTGGCACAGCAGACAGTACAGCACACGGCGATCAGCAGACCTTTAATGGAAAATGAAACGATATAAAATAAATTATACGAACAAAGATCTGAAAGAATGAGAAATTATTAAAAAAAAACAATGATTTAAAATAACCTAACTATGCAGCAAAACAAGGCCTTGTAGCTTTCCATTGTGCTCAGTTTCAACTTTTAAAACTTAAACACAGTATCTTTGCTTTGAAACTTTGTCAACATGTGTTTGTTGTTTTGCTTTTGAGCTAAAAGCACAATTCAGTCTTAAACCACAATAAAAAGTGAAACAAAAACACCCATTCAAATGTAACCACCATTACCTCTGACCTTAAAACTTATTATTTTTGGATAAAATACTTCTCTAAATGAAGGAAACATCCTCTTAAGGAAACACAAAGAAACAAAGAAAACACAAGCCTTAACTTTTCTGAGCTTGTTCGGCCATTTCAAATCACAAGATTCTCTCCAGATGTTCACTCTTCAAGAACTGTTAAAATTGTCCTGAGCAGACAAAGGTCTCAGTAATTAACCTGGGTTTATATCCATCTTAACCAATCAGATCGCAGCATCTCACAAGCCCCCCAAATCAACTTACCAAACAGGTTTCACCTGCCCCTGGCTTGGCTATGTGTTAATGGCCCATTTGTCACGGTATTTGGATCCAGTGTCTCTCCCTAGTCTCGTGCTTTGTTGTTTACATGTGTGCGAGTGTGTGAGTGGGTGTGTCCGCAATCATCAGTTGATCAGTATTCAGCTGCGATCACTCACCAGTACCAGCTGCCACTCATCTCATCTCCTATAAAGACTTACCACTTTCTCATTCCCATTGTCAGATCGTTGTATGAAGTCCTCGTCTTTCCTGTGCCTTCCTGTGCTTCGTGTCCCGTCTCGAGTTCCTGTGTTCCGGTTTTCGTCGTGTTGGATTTCGTTTCGTGTCTGGATTACATCATCACTCTTCTGAGCACCCTGCACTTTATCCTTCACTCTGTGTCTGACCATCGAAGTCCCTGCGCCACCGCCTGCTGAACCTGGACTATCTTTTTCATCATCTTTACTTACATTACTAATAAAGAGTTTTTACTTGCATCTTGTGTCCTCGTCTCTGACGTAACACCATTAAGGTCCACTGGTTTGGTTTAGTTTAGGAAGATAAAAACATGTTCCTGTGGAGTTCATTATTTAGATAGATAGATAGATAGATAGATAGATAGATAGATAGATAGATAGATAGATAGATAGATAGATAGATGACAGCCATTCAGTACAACCATTTTTTGAGGTTACAGGTTAAGTTTTTTTTTCTAAAACAACATTGACCTGTGGAGTGTTCATCATTTATATTGAGGATTAATGTAATGTAATGTCATGTAATCTATTTTTCCCATTTAAAAAGTTTATTAATGATATATTTGGTCTATGTGTAATCTATTTAGCAAGGGTCGAATAATATGTGCAGCCCATCTGTCCAGAGGGTTGTTCCATAAAACAAGATTAGAAAATAAGCCAGGCTTATTTTGGTTAGTCAGACTTATTGTCTGTGAATTCTGTTTCATAAAGCAAACTTAAAATAGTTCAAACTCAGTTACCCTGGAAACTTATGCTGGGAAACTAGCCTGGTCCGGGGCAGGCTAACTGTCAGGCTAAGCCTGAAATGATGCTTAACCAGAATACCGTTTTAACACTGACCCACTGGGAATGTGATGATATTACATCGGACTCTCTGGCATGCTGCCAACATACAAAAAGTGAAACAAATGTAAAGAAGTAAAGGTAGGCCTATGTGTTTAGTTGGTGTGATTTTTGTAATGAATCAATTAAATGTCTATAAATAGGGAGCTCCACCCATATGTGTAGGAGGACGCATAGTCATGGCGTGTCCTTTCATTGATGAGGTGGTGGATGAGGGAGCGATAATCATACGCAGGGCATTTCAAAGAGAACGTACTTTCAGGGACAGGGCAGACCCGTTGGCTTTTTCTGACTACTACCTGCATGAGCGGTATAGATTCTCGAGGGAAGGGATAGCATATATTTGTAGATTACTGAGCCCACACATCGCAAATAGCACACGGCGCAATAAAGCGCTCACAGTCCCACAGACTGTGTGCATTGCACTTCGCTTTTTTGCCAGCGGAACATTTTTGTACACAGTTGGAGATGCAGAGAATATCAGCAAAGCATCGGTTTGCCGCTCTGTACGGATTGTGTCCCTGTCTTTAAAAAAAATGCTTAATGTGTTCATCACCTTCCCTGGCCACAGAGCGATTCACAGTATTAAACAGGCCTTTTATGGAATCGCTGGTAAGTTCAAATAAGAACTATATAGAAAATGGAAATATTTATTGTCTGTTAATGTAAGACAGGCAATTGACAGACAAACACTTAACTTTGGTAGCTTTCCCAAATGTTATCGGAGCTCTGGACTGGACCCACGTGTGCATAAAGCGCCCGTCTGGTCCGCATGAAGCACACTTCGTTAATAGGAAATCATTACACAGTATCAATGTACAGGTACAGTCCCACTGAGATTATATTGTAGGCTAGAAGCGATTGTTCTTTACAATAAGCTTGGCACCAGTGTTCTATTCATTGCAAATGCATTAACAATTCTATTTATATATATCTATGTAAGTCCAATGTAGTGACCTACATTTTTAATTATTTAGATGATTTGTGATGCAGATTGCATCATCACAAATGTAGAGGCAAAATGGCCTGGCTCAGTGCATGATTCCAGAATCTTTCGGGCCTCTTCTCTTTCCCACCAACTGGCACAAGGTGTGTTAGTCACTTAACATATAGCAAAAACTACAGCTTTAAAATACCTTCACCAAATTCAATGCTTACATTTTTTTTTTTTTTTTTTTTTTTTTTCAGGTCAATTCTCAGGAGTTTTGCTGGGAGACAAGGGATATGGATGCCTGCCTTATCTCTTGACTCCCTATCAGGAGACGCAGACTGAGGCACAGCACAACTACAATATTGCCCATGATCGCACAAAAGAGCTCGTATAGAGATGGCATTTGGGCTCATCAAGTCAAGGTTCCAGTGCCTGAATTACCTCAGAGTGATTCCACAAAGGGCATGTGACATTGTAGTTGCATGTGTTGTGCTACATAACATTGCCTGTCTGAGGAGAGAGAGGCAGCCAAGGATGGTTGTAGAGCAAGACTGGGACATTGAAGGCATTTTTGATGACAATGAAATAGGCAGGGTTAAAAGAGACAGTTATGCCAATAAATATTTTGGTTAATACTGTCCAAACCATGTTAAAAGTTTTCACTTTCCCCTTAATTTACCAGGCACACTAGTCATACTTAATTTATTTTATTTAGGTTGAAGCTGGCTGTTGGGGGTGAAAACATACAATTAAATGTGGTCAAAAAACAAAAAGGTCATGTGTCATTGTCTTAAATATGGCAGTTTACTTGCATTTTTCTCAAGCTGTTGGATTTCCAGCTCCAACTTTCTCATCTTGAGTTTTTTATATTGGATGTCAGTATCTGTGGCCTCCATTTGTTTCAGGAGATACCTTTTGTAGACTCCCTTTATGTTCTGGGTTTTGTAGGAACAGAAATTTAAGTTTTTTCAATTTGATCTAGTGCTCTTGGCACTTTTTTTGTAATTTCTTAATACTCACTTGGTCACATGTGGTCCCAGACTGAGAGGGCTCTAGAAGGGTGTCAGCATCCTGTTGCCAATAATGGAAATACACACAATTTAGCACCTCACAGGTAGGCTTTTAAATATATAATGTGCAAATCTGTGCCTACCTCAGGCCTCCTTGAACATACTGACACAGTCTCCTCATCCTCCTCAACTGTAGATGGGCCTTCAACCTAAAACCATTAATTAAACTTGGTTTAATAATTCACCACTTGACAAATCAGTGCTTTAAACTCCATACTGTCATACTCACAGGGTTCAGCATCATGTCTGGTGGATCCAGAAATTACACAGAATTTGGCATCACTATAAAACAAAAAGATTTAGTAAGGAATGCAAGAATAAAAATAAATAAAATAAACAAAATACCTTTTAAGTAGTGATCTCTTATACTGGATGGAATGGATCCAGATGCTGTTCCCCCCTCTATTCCCTCAATGACAGGCCTCCCTTTATTCAGGTCTAATGCCAGCTCCTCTGCAGGAGTAAAGTTGGCTGTTGGTGGCCTTCCCCCAGTGCCAGCAACCTCACTCTTCTTTTTGGCAGCTGCAAATATTAAACATCATGAGACTGGACAGTTGTAACATCAAGCTGGTTATGCTTAAGTACTTACATAGATTTATACTTTATAATTAATACTTACCATTCTGAACAATATTTTTATATTTTATTTTCACCTGCTGCCATGTTCTTTTTTCTTCACTTAATTTGCTGCTCTAAAAGTTCCACACACACACTTCAATGTATTGTGACAAACATTTAATTTAACTTTAATAAAATATAGGAATGTAGGCCTACATTAATTGCTAGTTACGCATTGAGTCGATCAGCAATTTCCTGCCAGCCTTTTTCTCTCGTTTTATTAATTGCTGCGGTATTTCCTTTTTTTGTAATCATGTGTTTAAATTCTTCGTAAGATTCGAGAAGTAATTGCTGCTCAGTTGCCGTGAACATCGCTGCTCTCTCTTTCCCTTTAGTTGCCATGTTAAATTGATGAAACTATGCTCCACCATCAGGGCTTCTTAAGAATAGCGTGCACGCGCAATTATCTAGACTAGATAAACCTGGTTCAAATTAGTGAGATTGCGTGAACTTGAATTACCTTTTATGAAACCGCCTTAAGCCCCAACTGATTTGTTAGGTTAATTCAAGTCGGGTTTTGGAGCTTAATCCCCGCTTTTCTAAGCTTCTTTTATGAAATAACCCCCTGGTCAAAATAGTTTTCAGATGGACAAATCATCCATAAGATCAGGGTTATCCCAAAAAGGTGGCCTGAGCTGGGTTAGAACTCGGGTCCTGTAAAGCAAAGGAGCCCAACCACAATACAGCCCACACTGACCACTTCCCCACAGAAGATACAAAGATGCTTTGTTTGTTAGGCACATCTTTGGTGATACAGACTCTGAAAGTGAGCCAGAGGAGAGGAACAATACAAGACCCACTTATCTCTCCCTCACTCCAGCACCACCTTTTCCTCCACCGACTCCTAACTTCTCAGCTAGACCTCTGCCAGATCCGAATCATGCTGAACTTCTTCATTTCACTGGTATGTTCTTGTACTGCAGTAGTATCATTCAACCCCTGGTTATGAAGTATCATTTACATTTATTCTTTTAGCTGACGCTTTTATCCAAAGCGACTTACAATTGATATATATGTCAGAGGTCGCACGCCTCTGGAGCAACTAGGCTTGAGTGTCTTGCTCAGGGACACAATGGTTGATGGGTCACAGTGGGGGGTTGAACCTGGGTCTCTCACACCAAAGGTATAGTCTTCTATATCCATTGCACCATCGCCACCCAAGAATCAGCATGCATATGTTCAGTACTGTCAACTTACTTCTGCTTAACTCCAGTAACCAGGGTTTCCGCGGAGTCATAAAAAGTCATAAAACGTCTTAAATTTAATAAGAATAATTTTAGGCCATAAAAACGTCCAGATTTTCCATACAAGGTCATAAATTACATTTAGCCACGTCTTAAATTGATATGCTCATTCATTCATTATCGCGATAAAATTTTTTCTCTATAAAACGATATCAAGAGTTCGATAAATGTTCGATAATATTTAAAAAGAAATTAATTTTCCAATAAAGATATTAATTTTGTTAAGGAAAAATGACAAATGTTTGAATTTCTACCTCAGATTTGTGAAATGTTCACCTGTTTGGCAAGTTTTTGTCATGATATGTTCTGACAATAAAGAGTATTTTAAAACCACAATTAACACTCTGGTTTCTACAACTTTCAGTTAGGAGCAAAAATCTGCCTTTAAACTTGAAAGAAATAAAGATTTGACATTTATCGTGATAATTATCGATATTGACTGATACATTATCGTGATAATTGTTAAGTGTTGTTCCTGTGTTATTGATACTTAGGAAAAGGGAGCCTTCAGTTTGTTACTCTTAAGAAAATGGAATCTTTAAATAATGAAACTTATTACTTTTAATGAAAGTCAATAAAAAAAAAACTTTTAAAAGGAAGTTGTTTTCGTAATTCGTGTAGGTCATAAATTTAATCATAATGGCAGAGCTGCCAACTCTCACGCATTGGCCGTGAGACACACACATTTGATTGGTTTCACACGCTCTCACGCCACACCCCCGATTTCTCACGCTGAAGTGTCAACCTGGTCGGTCAAATGCCTGGAAGATGAGTTTATCTATATATCTACCTTGGAGACTGTGCTCCAAACCACGTAGCGTGCCCACGGCAGAGAGGGAAAGCGAGCGAGAGACCTTGCGTGTGCAAGCATTTTCTTCAAATATACGTATGCTGCAAATTTTTTTTCTATAAGATAACAAGGGCTGTTTTATAATCTGTTGTCAGTGCTTGGACCCTAATAATGAAATTGTCAAATGCCTTCTCCTCAGCGGCTGCACCACTTGTTCCCGTCCCTCCACTTTGCATGCCTTCAAGTCCTCCATACCAGATTTCTGCTGGACCTCTGCCTGATCTGAGGCAATGTGATCGTGGTAGTTACACAGGTACCACAATAGAGTATTTTTGTTAAGCTTTTCTTATCAAAGTACTCACCTGTTAGCAAAAATAATATGTTCAATCTACCTCTCCTCAGCTCCAGTGGCACTTGTTCCTACCCCTATGTCTTGCATGTCCTCAAGTCCTAGGCGCCGGATCACTGCCACTCCTCTCACAAATGACTATCAAGGCCATTGTTTTGTCCCCACTTTTAGACTGGGGAGGACTGGCACTGGACCTGTTCCTTGCTCTGGTAAAATATATATTTTTAACTCTGTGACTGTATACATGGTTTAAATAAGAGCTATTTAAAAAATACTTATAGAAGGATACGATATATACTGTGTGTGTGTGCATATACAGTACAGGCCAAAAGTTTGGACACATTTTCTCATTCAATGCGTTTCCTTTATTTTCATGACTATTTACATTGTGTATATTGTCACTGAAGGCATCAAAACTATGAATGAACACAACTGGAATTATGTGCTTAACAAAAAAGTGTGAAATAACGTACTCGGTTACTAACGTAACCTCGGTTCTCTCTAGAGAGGGAACGAGTACTGCGTAATAGCTTACGCTAGGGGAAAACCTCTTTCCCACGAGATATTGAAGCCAAAAATTATCCTTAATTTTTTATTAATGTAAAACGCTTTGCAGCAGCAAGCAGACACAGGCGAGACAGCTCGCGCGCCTATTGGCTGCTCTTGCGGCAAATGCAGCAGCCTATCGAGAGAGACTCTGCGTGACGTAATGACCAATGGGGGCAACTCGCGCCCATATCGTCACGTCCCGCCAGAAAGGGCGTGGTCTCACTCTATAAATATGCTCGTTAGGCTGGTACAAGCTGGTTTTCATCGCCGAAGCGAACCAGAGCGTATTCCAAGCACGGCAAGATACGCAGTGCTCGTTCCCTCTCTAGAGAGAACCGAGGTTACGTTAGTAACCGAGTACGTTCTCTTACGAGAGTATCTCTAGTACTGCGTAACAGCTTACGCTAGGGGAACACAATGCAACACGCCGTGCGTACAGGGATCCAACACCAAAGTCCCAGGGGCCGAAGCCCAGGGCTCATATAGTGCATAATCACCATAAACTCACATAGAGTGGAGAAAGAGAGGCTGGAAGCGTCATTCCTTATAAAATAGCACCCAGCGGGGCTATCATATGACAATAAAACGCGCAGCCAGGGTGAAAGCTTTCAGCCTGATCTGGGTGGCCATACGTGTGTCAACACTCATGGGGCTGCAGTAAACTCAGCATCTGGGCCGCACAGCGGGGCAGATAGCACTGAATTTTAGACCGCCAAAAGCTTAGCTTGTAAGGCGGGTACCTCCAGGTTATAGTATTTTATAAATGTAGACGGCGAGGCCCAGCCCGCGGCCGTACAGATATCTTGCAGGGAAACCCCGTTAGACCATGCCCACGAAGAGGCCACGCCTCTCGTGGAGTGCGCTCTGACACCCAAGGGGCACTGCAGGCCCTTTGCAGTGTAAGCGAGCGCAATGGCATCCACTATCCATCTGGATAGGCTCTGTTTTGAGGCGGCAAGTCCCTTGGAGCGCCCGCCAAACAAAACGAAAAGCTGCTCAGTCTGTCTGAAAACAGACGAGCGCGACACATAAGCTCTTAATGCCCTGACGGGGCAAAGGAGACTCGCGTCCTCCTCCTCATTGAGAACCGGAAGGGCGGACAGGGAAATTACCTGGGCCCTAAACGGTGTATTGAGGGATTTCGGCACATACCCGTGCTTAGGTTTGAGAATGACCTTCGAGTCATTAGGCCCAAACTCCATACATGACGTGCTTACTGAAAGAGAGCCATGAGAAACACTGTTTTGAACGACAGGTGTTTCATGTCCTCCGGCTGGATTGGCTCGAACGGGGCGCCTTTCATGGCCTCCAGGACCGTGGAAAGGTCCCACGTCGGGACTGAAGGGGGCCTGGGAGGGTTTAGCCTCCGAGCTCCCCTAAGGAAACGCACGACTAAGTCGTTCTTCCCCAGCGACTGGCCAGACACCGGTTTTGCAAACGTTGCTATGGCCGCCACATATACTTTGAGCGTGGATGGGGTCCTGCCCTTATCCAGTAGCTCTTGAAGGAAGGAAAGCACTTCCGAAACCCCGCATTCCACAGGTGAAAAGCTCTGGGCTTGACACCATGCAGAGAAAACAGACCATTTCGAGGAGTAGA